CAGACCCAAAGGGGAGCAACAGAAAGCCCTGCAAAGGGGAGCTCTGTCTTCCATCATCTGCTCTGCTAAAAGCACGAGACATCCCCATGTACACCCAGCAAGAACAGGGGAAAGACTTTACTACTGTACACAGTTTCCCTTGCTGGGATCTCAAACAGAAGCACACCAGCTTTTCTTCACAACTTTGCTACACCTGGTGTTTCCTCAAAGAGAGCAATGCTGCAGCTACACCTCCTAGACTGTCCTGCCAGTCCAGCAGCAAGGGCAGAGCAGTAAAACAGAGATCCATGTTTTTCCAAAACTGACAACATCAGAAAAAGTGGGGCTGCCCACTGACACAGCCAAGCCAGTTTCTCCCTGCTTTTCTCCCAAACACAGGGCTGCACTTGAAAAATCAAAAATAATGAACATTTTCAACATATGGATTTTTATGACCAAAAACATCAAAAGGAAAAAAGAGTCAAAAGGTCTCTCTTCAAAAATTAATCCTGGAATTAACGTGATTCATTCGAAAACTTACCAAGTGTGGTCTTGTAAGAATTATTATGCATGAACACCTGTAAGGAACCAGCTATTAATAGTACCAATGAAACTGTCACACAAAAACAAAGAAGTGCTACTTGTGGCCCTGTGATTAAGGCCATGTCAGCAGTTTGGTTTTCATGACTTTAACACCCAGATGTAAAAACAGCCTTCAGTAGAGGCAAGCTTATTGAGCCAGTATCCACAGGAGCACAGTTTCTGCTTCCACTGGGTGAAATACAAGGGTCAACTATGTTTTAATACATGGTCTTCAAATAGTAAGATCTAGAATCTGCAAATTGTTTTGGGAAACAATCATGGCCAAACAGGACTACACCTTGAAAGACAGTTTGATAAATACTGCAAGACAGAAACTTGGTAGAGCACAAGAAACAGAGAAATTAGAATTTGTGATGTTCTGTTTTGGCATACATTCTTCAAGAATTAAAGGCATTCCAAAGAAATTGCCTGCTAATGCACATTTCATAGCTATAGATCTTCATAACTTGGCCACCTTTTGCTTAAACAGAGAATGGCATTAACAGATTTATGTTTCAAAAGGCACCATTTGAGATTCTTCAAGCAAGCAATCCATAACCAAATAAGCAATGATTAGCCCTGTGCATGCAAAAAATTAAAAGCCCCACTTATGCTGACACAAGACCCACATCTGACCCAAACAAGCAGGAAAAATGCAGTATTTCAAACACATCTTAGGGAATGTATTACTCAGGGTCCTGCAATAAAATAGCATCTTCTTAAACAAAAAACAGAGTTAAACCCTAAACAGAATGTGACCACAACCCAAAAGAAACTTCTTTTCAGTGTGTTTTGATGTTTCAGGCACTGCCAGCACCCTTAATTTTATTCTATTTTGCTATTAAGTTTAAATTACAAAAAACATTACAGATTAGCTTAGAAGGCTAACACCCTTGACTGCCTCAGTATGGAAGAGCAGTGATGTGTCTTAGTTGCAATAATAAAATAATTTAATTAAACACTGAATTTTAAAAGTCTGATTCTCACACACATTCGTATACAAACTATGAGCTATGTTTCCTCCATAAGCATAAAGACAAAGGCAATACAGTCCTGCTGTAAAGATAGAAACAAAGTTGTTTTTCATCCCAATCTTTCCCACATTTTTTCTCTTTATCCCACATTATAACAAAGCCTCCTTATTGAGAAAATCAGAAGAACACATGGAACTTGAAACACTTAAACACAATACATCTGACAAATTGTGTAGATTTATAAACTTTCCCCTTCTTTATCTTTCCCTCAATCCCAAACATATGAGAGGGAAAGCTCAACACACAAAGTCAAATAATTAGCAAATACCTCTCTCATAAGTTCAAATTATTTCTTAGTGAAAGCAATTGAAAAAAAATTAATTTTCAAAACCACCAGCACTGAACTGATCTGGATGAAAGAGGGGACATTTCACTCAGCTTACTGAATGGCTCACAAGATCACAGACCCTTACTAGGAATGTGGGGTTTTACTTCCTTCAAAAGAATCGCTCTTAATTGGCTTTTCATCACTCTTTCCATTTTCTTACCATCCAGGGCTATGAACTGGCCCTATCCTACCCTTCAACACGCAGAGGCAATACAGCAGCTGCCAGCATTTGTGAGTAAACACAGGGAGGTTTTACAAGGGGAAGATGGACAGTCACTTACACAGCCAAGTACCACAGTCTCCACGAACCAATAACCAACCCTCCAAAATTGTTTGGAAGCAAAACCACTCAATTTCTGCCTGGAAACTTGGTTTAACATCAAAGTCACAATACACACATGAAAGCAACATAAGACATTACTAAGATCAGACAAAGTAAAAAATGAAACACACTGGTCAATCCCTCAAAACACAAAGAGGATCAGAAACAAAGAGGCTGTGCAGCTGATGCTCAGGAGGCAAGCAGGGATTTGGAAGCACTGATCCTCTTCAGATTAACTCCAAAGCAGCAACCTTACAGAACCTGTAAAATTTCTCAGACCCCATATCTTTAGTTGCATATAAACACATTTACTGCACAACATGCTTTTTTTACTAGAAGACACAATTCCAGTAATCAAATTCTATCATCTTTGTTTATCCTGTAAAGTGCTTTCTATAAAATAAATGCTTCCTCATTACAAGATTAGGTGCTACCCAGGACAATAAGAGCCTAAGTCCCATCAGGCAGCCACCCTAAGCACTTTCACACTCAGCAGAGCTGCTAGGGAAGGCAGGTGCTGTGAATTGTATTGGCTATAAGCCCAAGCAGGCACCTGCACTTGCTTAAAAAAGCCTGGGTTCTCACTCACTGAAACAGCTGCCTAGAAAACCTGCTCAGGTGTTAAACAGTTAAGCGAGAAGGTTCCCAGCTAAGATGACAGAATCCATCACCAGCAACACCTGCTTGTATAAAGAAAATTAATTGGATTCAACTAATTAGTGGAAGTTCACTGTCACATTTTGAAGTCACACCAAGTAATTCTGAGAAACTCAGCCCACATAACCAGTATCAAGGGTAAGCTCTTTGTCCACCACTGTGGTGGTGGTTACACAGCTTGGTACTTCTTACACAGCTTCCCCATCAGTTAATGTATTTCAAAGTCATGTGCACATTCTTATTTCCTGCTTTACACACATTCATGTCTTCTAAAAATAACTTAAACCACCAATTTGGAGTTCTCCCAATTTATCAAAATGAAAACCATGGCATCATTAAGGAATTTCTGTTGTCTTGAATTTGCTTTCAACTTGCCAAGTCTGTGTGGCACCTGTCTTTAACTGATCAAGACAGAAGACAGATGTGAGATCCTTGAATATGATGAAAATCAAGAGTTTACATGTGACAAAGCTGAATTGCACTCAAAGAAATTAGCAATCAGTATTTTCCCATTGGAGCTACTCTGCAATTTTAAGAATAATCTGATCTCTCCTAATGTTTAAACAAGTAAAGCTACAGGCAATGAAATTATTTGAAATTCTAGCCAGACTTCACAAATCAAAAATGGCAGCATAATAATGCATTTCTACAAAGATGGCTTCTATACATTATTAAAGAGTGATCCAGCATAAATAGAGTGTGAAAACATAATGATAACACCTACCAAAGAAAATACAGCAAGTGTAATTTTGGAGACACAGTCAGTCTTAACATTCTTATTTTATTCTTGAATAATGAAAACCTCTCAAATTAGTAAAAAATTCTCTTCTCACTGAAAAATGCAGAAAAAGGACCTAAACAATTACACTATATATTCAACTATAAAGTGCTGTAATAAGAACAACATAGAAACATTTAACATATATCAGGTGACCACAAGAAATTAAACACACGAAACAAAACCACACAGTTACAACTCTTCAGTCTCGGATCAGCTGCAGGTATGACTGTTTTCCCAAAATGGACTAGTAAGGGCATAAAGCAAAGTTTAACTCTTAGTCTTTGTAACTTCCTTGCCTTCACACATCAGAATAATTCTCCAACTTTATTTTGCCATCAAAAATAAAATTACATATTTTACTGAGCCTGCAGATCTACAACCACAGAGTCAGTCCCCACTGCTTTTTCAAAGACCAGCGAGATTCTGGAACGTCTTCCAGTATAATTTCAAACACTGAGGGCAACAAAACCTTTTGTTTTGTTTGTAAAACCACTTTTTAGCCTAGAGGCTGTGAAAGTCTGCTCACAAAGCCCAGGCTTGGGCTTCAGCAGAGCAATGCTTGACCAATAGCAGTCAAATCAGCACCACGAAGAAGCTTCTCAGCTGCACCTTTTTAAGTATTCCCATGGAGCAGAAAGACCTCAAAGAGATACCTAAAAGTTGGAAGAGTACAGTATTTTGCATGCAGGCTTGAAGAGTTCTGTATCCCTTTCACACTGTTTATCTTGTAGTATTTTAATAGTATTTCACTTCAGAGGCAAACAGCATGCTAAGTTTTGGCAGGAATACATTGACAGACTATTACTGTGTAATCGTGGAAAGAATTACACTGACATCAAAACCACAATTATTTAGTTGTATGAAATCCAGACAGCATACCCAGAAATTTCAGCTTTCAAAACCAAACGCGCTCCACAGTAATGTTTATGCTCTTAGAGAGGATATCAGTGCTAAAAAAAGCAGGGACTACAATCAGCAGCCAAAGGTATGGTGTCTGTTTCTTATTCTTTCAACAGAGAAATATCAATTAAGAGGAAGTTATGGGTCATCACCAGCCTTACTGATGAAGCCACCCATTGCTAATGCATCTGAAGAGATTCTTCATAGACCAAGCAAATGCCAGGGGAAAAAAATAAAATAACCACACTCCTGACAGCATGCCTGCAATTTGACAAATAGCAACCTTAAGAGTCAGATATTGCTACTCGGTTCCAGAATAGCACCAGCAGAAGCTTACAGTAAGACTCAGAGTAACAGTCAGAGAGGACTGAAACATACAAAACTAGAAACATGATACTCAGAAAAAAAAAAAAGGTTAAAAAAAGATGCATAGGACAGTCAGAAGTATTTCCTTCTTGGCTTTGTGTTTTATTTTCTGCAATACATATATACCAATCTATACACCTTGGGAAAGGCTTATCTCCATTCATAAAGCAGTAAATGTCTTCAAGGTACTTCTGGCACAGCTTCAGATATCCTAGGATACAAATAAAAAAACTGTCTACTGTTTTCTTAACTGGGGGTTGGGTGGTTTAAGGCTTCCTTTGCAGTATGGTGACATGCTACCTCAGACTGCCTCTGGATACACAGGAACAGTTACCATTTACCTGAGGCATAAGCAAGAGCCAGGAGGCACCTCTTGAACAGCTGTGCAGGTGTCAGATTTGCAGCAGAAACAACGCATCTTCTCATTACAGCAAAAGCACTCACCTAGACACTTAACACGGTATATTTTTTTCCTTCTGCATTAGAATTCACCACACAGGCTGTAGGAATTCTTTGAGAAGAATTTCCAAGCAGCAGAAACATTCCCTAAAATTTGACTACATCTTCCTATACATAGTGGTTAGCCAGATTTTTCTAGAACAAGCATAATTTTTCCTGCTATTTCAAAGGTGTTCAAGCTTGGCAAAAGCAGCACAAGCTGGTTTATCTACTTGGATACTCCTTGAAAAAAGCCAAGATCTATGGCATTCCATATCCAAGGTAAGCACCTCTTTGCAGCTGACATACCTGTTGGACCAGTGTAGTTAGCTGAGCACTGTAATGAAGTAGCTGACAATATCACAGGTAAGTTTGACTGCACAATGCCAATGTACCATTATTCATCAAATGAGTTGTCTCAGGGTACACGGTATCTAATGCCTTCAATGGCACTTATCACTGAACTAACTGCAACCATATCAATGCCAATGGATGTGTTTTTACACTTACTTTGCTTACTGTCAAATGACACTGAGTTACAAGGAAAAATTTATATTTCCCATAAAAAAAAAAAAACTTTAACAAGACTTTAACAAGAAATACTCCTGAAGAAGGAAGCCTGCCTTGGTCATAATGATTTGTGTGTATTTGTGACTAAATTAAAATTGTTACAACATTCAAGTTGCATATGAGGAAGTTCAGTTGCTTAACACATGTGAAAAGCACAGGTGACAAAAGATAAGCCAGTTCAGATCAATTTGTTTGGCAGGCTTTACAAAAGCTTCATTGTGGATTTCTGTTGTAAAGCCTGTGAACACACTCAAAAGGAACAAGCCATAAGGCCTTTCAGTAATAGGAACAGGAAACTTGAGAGAATTCCACTCTTTCACCTCACCTTCTATGGTTTTGCTTAATTGAAAGATTTGGACACAACTGCATCCTCCAGATCACATACATACAACCCAAAGGAATTCCTTAGCTGAGGGTCTGAAAAAACAATCGGTGGGTTCATATGAAAGAGGCAGGAGGTGACAAAAACATTAAAGAGAAAGAAAATCTTTTTATTTTGCTCACTTGGCTAAAAAGCAACCAAAGCAGCAAGATGAAATTTAGAGCAAGAGAGAACATACACCTGTGAAAGAGGAAGCTGGACATCAACCACACTGCCACCTTGTTCTTGCATCGTCATCCACCCAGAGCTTCAAGGAAGCCGTGCTTTCCAAAATAAGCCTGAGCTGTGCCGTGACAGTGTAGGAGAAACTGAGCTGACAAGCTTGTAAGAACAGTCACTTAATCAGGACTCTACTCCAGACCCAGAAGTCTGAAGAAGTTGGGATAAGGTTGCTAAGAATTGCCAAGAGAAAGAAAGTACTTCCTGCCTCGCAGACTGAATGAAAGCAGAGGCAAGTGCAAAGAAACCCAGCCTCGGTACTCCTCAAAGACAAGGTGTCTTTTCTTGAGCAACAGGAAGCACCACTAGGATGAATACCAGTATCACAACTGCACTGAAAAGCCTTTTATTCAACCTTTTATTTATTATTTATACGGATCACAGTGGTAGCTTTTGATGTGTTTCTCACACAGGCCATCAGCAGGTTCAAGTACTCCATTTCTCCTTGCCCTTCTGCATAGCTATCTATTTTCTAAGAAAGCGACTCCCTGGTGCAGAAAGCTCAACAGACAAAAGGATCTGAAAGAGATAATCAGAGGGAAAAAAAAAAGAGCAAAATTTAGTGGTAGAAGATCAAGTCACATGGGAAAGATTTTTACAAGGGTTCTCTATTCAGATTGGATTGGCTGTAGGTATATGGAGAAGTGGAGGCTTTAGCTCTTTAAAATTTTAGGAAATAAAGAACTACAGGTTCTGTCTATGCCAGCAGTCACCAGTCTTAATTAAATTTAAAAATCCCAAAACAATAAATATTAAAGAAGCTGCATGCTGCTGGCAATGGGGTATTCTGTTCTCCTGGACTGTCAGTCCAGGCAGTAGTGTCAAATAGCCCCCTAACCACAGCATCAGGTGTCATGAGAAATGTTGCCTGGAGGAAGTCATCTTCCCAAACTCTGTTTGGTCACCATGTGCAGATCTGTTTCATACCTCAGCACCATTAACATGAACTTCAGCATTTTCTTTTTCCTGGAACACTTTCATTATTTTACCTACGTTCACAGCAGATACACATCACAGCATACAGTACCTTATGATTCACTTGTTGTTCTCAACGTTTTTCAATCCACATCCTGCATACATCATGTTCAAACACAAGGAATCAGACTGCCTGCACTGGTCCTCGAATTCAAAGGCTGCTAGCTGAGCCAGGCTACCAGAACTTCCCTCTCCAGTATACAACTAAAGAACAGACTTCACTGGCAGTCACAAACACTGAGCAAAGCTGTGCAAAGGTAGGAAGAAAAAAAGGAAGTTAATACATCAAGGCACACATTAACTAATCCTGTATCAGTTACACATTTTATTGTGAATATCTCCTAGGTAACTTATGTTCAAATGCCATCACTAACTGCATTATTCTGAAAGGCAATGGAACACAGATGGGCTACCCCAGGCAGGCACAGAGAGCAACCAAAGTCCTGGACTCCCAGTCCTAGAAGAAGACAAAAGCCCTGCACATGCTGGTGTAGAGTATAAACGATACAAAAGAGTAAAGCACTGAACCATGTATTTATAGATGGCTATTACTGCACAAGTGGAATCAGTCTATCTAGTAGCCCTCTTCTTTCCAAAAGGGAGTCAAGGCAATCAAAAGTCAGGCATCTTTGTATAAATAGGGTCTCTGTTTTCAGAAAATATTCTAGTCTTCCATTTCAGTATTTGTTATGCTACTTTACACAGTAAAATACCTTTTTCTCAAGAGTTTGGGGACACAATCAATAGCAGCACTCCTCACCTATACCCTGTAAAGGGAAAATACCTGTAATTATATTTTAGGAAAGCTTAGTTTCATGGCAGAGCCACTATTCATTTGCTGCAAATTATTTTCAACAAGCCCCTTATGCCATCTTGTCACAAACTGGAGGTGGTTCCTCTTCCAGTCCTGCGGAGTGGTCATAATATCATACAACCTTATATTGAAAGGGACTTCTGTGCAGTTCAAGATCCCTGCTGAAGACAGGGTCAAAAAGTGCAACATGTTCAATTTGGTTTGGGTACCTCCAGGGACAGACACTCAACTTCTATAGTCAGTTTCTTCTGTGCCTGACACCCTCATCATTGAAAACAAACCAATCCAAAAAAAGCCATCTCAAAAAAACACATACCCTCCCAAGTTTAAAAGAAGTTTCTTGTGTTTAGGTTTGTGGCCAAAATCAGTGTTCCTACATCTCTGCATCCTCAAACTATGATAAGGATGTTCAATGCACGCGAAATCCTCACTCAAGACAACTCTTGGCTACTTAGAGACAGAAGCTGAAACAGACTACTTGGCTTCACACAAGACGATATTTGTTTAAATGAACAGGCAGCAATACTAATATTTAGCTTTACTCAGAAACTAAGACTATTTGTTTTAATGAAATGGCAGCAATGCTAATATTTACCTTTAGCCAGTTTCAGCAAAGATTATCCTCCTATTTCAATGTGAAAAACCAATCCCTCCGATTTTATCCTTCTGGCAAACCAACATCCTGTCTCTGCTACAGCAGGCTCTAATGTTTCTCTACCTGTGTTTTTCAGATATACACGTTCTCCAGTGACACAGATTCCCACCTCACAGTTTGATGACAATACTGAAAGTAGCTTTCATAAACATTGTTTAACTGTTTCCTCTACTACTTTTCTCCAAGTGACATTTATTTTATTTTAGCCACAGAGTATCAAAGAGTTTTATGGTATATGACTCTATACTAGCTATTCTTTCAGGGGTTGTTTTTAATACTAAGTAATGACTCATGTTCTGTTATTACTGTACTTTGCCCCACTGAGCCTGTCTAGCTCAGTTTCATCTCAACAGCCAAATTTTTAAAAAACCAAACAACTTGATCTCAATTTACAACAGCAAATCTTTCTCAGTATCTTTTTTCCCCCTCTCTTGATACAGTTAACCTTTTTCCAACTGTGAACTGTAACTGTGGCATGAAACTTGCAGTACACGTGTACAAGGGTTTGTGTGTTAGAGGAATAGCGAAGGCTGTAAGCAACTGAACTTTCGATGCAAAAGACAGAGGCAGATCCAACTCTTTAAGCTCTCTTCAGGCTTGGTTGAAAGTTCTGAGGTTGCTGCCTTAAGTTTTGCCAAATGGAAGCTGAATTTGACAGAACTGCAGGCAAAGGAGCAGAGACTGGGGCTAGCACTGCTGCTGTAAGAACTCTCCCAAGGCAGAGACACAACTGCTCCCTTCACGCTCCGTTTGCAATAGCCTCAGGGCAGGCACTGACACTGAGCTCATGGCTTCGTACTAAACTGAGCTTTGAAGTGCCTGCTGAACCATGATTGTCTACCTTGCTGCCTCTCCTAGAGAAGCACCAGATGCAGATAGATATTATTTACTGCTCATAATCCAGGGGCCAAGTGGGAAAATTAGAAACATCAACATACAGCCTCATAGTTAGGCTCAGAGAGGTTATTTCTTGGTACTTTTCCAAGAAGTCAAATATCGAAATACTTCTACGAGCATCAGTATGAGAAAGACAATCAGACTGACTGCAGTGCAATCAGACATTCTGAATAGATATTTAAGTGCAATTTTAACAGATATTTAGTCACAAGTTCTAGAAGACAACACTTTAAAAGTGTACTGCTTTAGTAGCTTCCTGGTATAAGCAACATGCCATGTTTGCAGAACTAGAATTACACTGTTAGTAATACCAGTATTTGATTCAAAACTTCAATTTTTACAGAGTAACTCTTCAAGTTACCAAAGTTTGAAAAGTCCACCACATTTATTTTTCATTGTGAAAGCACTCTTAGTCATAGTCAAGCTGTTTGAATTTTTTTTAAGTATTTTAACTTAAACACATACCATAGGCCTGTTTAATTTAAAATATTTCTCTTTAAATGAAGAAAAAAGTGCTATGCATTACTCACAAGTAGTCTACCAGCACACCAATACCTACATGACACTTCAGAAATGTTTGATCCATCTAACCACAGCAACTGCCTCACTCTGGAAGTCATTTTAGCAAAACAGTGAAATGTGGTTCGTCCCACTGCTGTGGTGTGAGAAAGATAAGAGAAATCTCAATACTGCAAAAGGAGTATATAACACCGCTGCCTACATGCTTAGAGTCTCTTATCAGCAATGCAAGTGCTGGAGTGATACTGATTTCACCATAACTCCAAGGGCAAATGCAGAATTTGTAAAGGTTGATACATATGCTTTGATTAATAGAAACTAAGATTCACCCCTTGGAGCCAGAATGCCATTTAAGTCCTGATCATAAAATTATGAAATTTGCTCTCCTTTGTGGCTTCACCATGCATGCAGCAAACTCCTCCTGTTATTTGGCCAGAGGTCAAACTCACCTTCTTATCAGTAACACATTCACCCTTGCAGATACCTGCCCTCTAAATGTCTTCTATCTAGAAGAAAAGTAAGCCACCAGAACTGATTTCATTAATGGGCGAAGTTAAGCTGGCAAATGGCATGTGCCCCCAGCCTCTCACTAAACAGAAGAACTTGTGCAGACAGCCCATCCCTCTCTGGCGTGCTGTAAAGTCTCATGAACCCCATTAAAAGTCCCTTAATCAGAAGTTTCAGTTGTGCCACATCTCTATGCCACGTTTCAGTTAACAGCTGCATCATCAGTCAGTTGTGCCATTATCAAAGTATAACCTCTGAGCTCAACTCTCTCTCCGTCCTAGAAAGAAACCCCCAGCTTTTGTCAGTGGAAAAGTGAACAATCCACATGTTCATTTTACACAGAAGTTCTGAAAAACAATGAGTTGTCTGATTCCAGCACTATGATTAAGCACACTTGCTGTGCCATCATCTCAACTCAGGAAGGGCTGTTACAGCTCAAGCAGCACCTCACCTGGCCCAAGAGTACTCTAACAACAAAAGCCTGATCCACAACTGCCCAAAACTGTCATGGCCCATATCCAGCTCAATACTTATCTTTCATCCATCCTTATGTGCCAGGCCCTACAGGGTATTACTTCAGCAAACACTCTCAGAGAACATGGCCGCACACAAACAAAAGCAGGTTCCTTATACAATACAAGTATGGCAGCTTGCTTTTTGCTGTAGCAGAAAGGGCACAGTTTAAGTAAGGGGAGTTTACCATCCAATTCTGTTCTATACCACCTTCAGTCTGAAGAGATCCAAGCCTTTATCTCCCACCTTGAAAGAGCATCAGTTAAAGGAAGAATTTGAAACAGGCCAATAATCTTTACCACAGTTGATAAAATAATTGCCTGGGAGAGACAAAGCCTGAGCTCTAGCTTCCACTTCAGCATATTTGTACATTTTACGTATGGTAACTAAGTTTAAAAACACATTGCACTCTTTCTTCAGATGCAAGTCTCCCTTTCTCACACAGGAAAAAAAATCCAAGTCCCCCATTTCAGGGTGAGCCTCTTCAAAGAGGGGTAAGGAACAAGTAGTATGGTGACGTTCTTTAAAACTCATCTAAGAAAATAGATGGACCAGGAATCCTGGCAGATCTCAGAATTATGGAGAACTACACAGCCCCAACAAAGGCCTTTCCAAGCTCTGGTTCTCCACATGTTCCAATGATAAATAATATGCCTGTCAAAAGTTAAGCTAAGAAGGAGGAGCTGCTTTGGAAACAAAGTAATATAGAGAACACAGTACTGAAAGAACCATGGTGTTGTAGCTACAGGCCTCTAACTTACTATCTTTGATGAAGGGAAATGCACTTCTGCCAACAACCTGGAAGACTTTTCACACAGCACCAAAGGAGTCCTTGGGAAAGCTCTGACAGTGCTCTTGCTAGAAATAAACATCAAGCAGAAGTGTTAGTACATAGAGATCACTAGTCTTTCCTTTTCATAAACATAGTTACATCTCCTTGTCAGACAGCCCCTTGGAGGGTTCTCCCCAGACTGCTATTGGCAGACAGCTGCTAACCCATGAGGAGAGTGCGGACCAAAAAGTGTGGCAAGAACACACAGGACCAGGCATAATGAGGTGAAACACAAGCAGCAGGTGAATGTTTAAAGCACAGTGCAGGTTCCCTCAGACAGCAGATGAAAAACTAGTCTCTGGATTTACTCCCTCACAAAGAACCCATTGGTTCTTCCACTATAAAATAAAAAGAGAGACAGCACTGACTGTCTCAGAGTAAAAGAGCAACATGTTTGTTTTGACATGTACTTTTTCACACTGCTCATGGACTTCTCAACAATCCACACCACCACCTCACATTGGATCTGCAAACATACCAGGACAAGTCACAGTTGAAGGGGAAGAAGTTCTTCCATGTATGAGCCTGTCACTAACTAAATGCAAGCCATAAAGAAAAAATGCTGTTCCACTGGGATTCTAAAATGAGCCTTAATGGCTACTATACATTACTTACTTAACAAGTTATACCAATCACAGGAGATACACCCTCCAAGCAGAAGTCATTCAGTACCAGTATGTTCCTGGAGATATGCAATGTGAAAGGAGAGCAAATTTTCCCAGGTAGTGGGAGGTATCTACATTGCAAATAAGATGTTCCTCAAATATGAGTAAGCATGTCCAAGACAACTTTTCATTTAGCACCCACTTGCCAGCAAAGACAGAGCAATGCAGATCTCTGTGTGCACAAACAGTCCAACCAACTATCCCAGCTGCCTACTGGAAGTGCAGCAGCAAAAGTCACAAACTGCACACATCAACCCTCCTGCACACCTCACCAGGTTAAAACTCACCACCATCACATCTTTTCTCATCATGCAGAAGTTGCTCCAAGGGAGACTGTGATTTCTTTCTCTTTCCATGCCATCTTTCTCCTGCACCTTCTGCTCAAAGCACCAGGACTCAGAGCATCATTATCCCTATGAGTAATATAGCCAAAAAAATTGAAGACTGCAATGAACGTACACAAACACGAAACAGGTGGCCTGGGGAAACACTTTTGTCATCCATTCAGGTTTCAGGATAAAGCAGGTACTGTCTGTACATGCATGGCTGGCCAGTGTGTCACACTGGCAAGTGACAAGCACCCCTCCTGAGTGATAAGCCTGATCAGGTTGCAGCCAACGCTGGCTGCCTCACACCTGCACTGGTGCCTTTCCCACTGCAGACCTCAGGATGAAGAGTCCCAACACTGGCTCCTTGTACTGTCTTTCCTAGGTGCTGCTCCTTTTTCAGCGATGCTCACTTCACACCTCATCCCTGCACAGGCTTAGCTGATTTCTCAGGAATTCCTGGTACAGACTACCATAAGACAGTCCAGACACGAGACAAAAAAAAGGCATTGCGCCCCATCTCGCTCACACCAGCAGAGGAACACTGCAGACCCCCGGGCAGACAAGCCCTACCCACGAGGCGGTCTGTCCGGCTCTGACCCAGCCGGGGCTGTCAGAGGGAGCTCCAGCCCGGCGCAGAACCGGCGGCACCAGCGGGGAAGGGCAGCGGGCACCGGGCTGGGAAGGCACCCGCGGGGACATGCCCCGGGGCCCGGGGGCGAAGGCGCCGGCAGACCCACGCCGAGCCCTCCGCCGCCCCCCCCCCCACGCCCGGCCCCGGCAGTCACGGCCGCCGGCGGGCGCCTCGGGGCGGCTCCTTCCCTTCCCATCCCGTCCCATCCCCTCTCCCTCCGCCGCCCTCCGGCAGGGCACACGAACGAGGGGAGCCCCGCTGGTACCTGCCCGGTGATGCCGGTGATCAGAGCCACCTTCCTGCCGTTCATCTCCTCGCCGTCGTCTCCCGGTGCAGCGGCGGCGGCGCAGCCACACGCCTCCTCCTGTGCCGCGGGCTGTGCCATCCTCCCGGCGGCGGGCGCGTCCCAGGTGCGGAGGTATCCCGGGGCGGAGGCGCGGCCGCCGGGACGAGGCTCCCGGCGCTGGGGGCGGGCACAGAGAGGAGGATGCCTGCCGGCTCCCGGGGTTACCTGCGCTGCCCCGGCCGCCGCCGCCGCGGCATTTCCGCGCTCCCGCCCTGCCCGCCCGCGCTCCCGCCCCGCCCCGCCCCGCCCGCGGCGGCCGCAGGTGCAGCCCCCCGCAGGCGCGCTCCCGCAGCACGGTCCGGGAGCGCGCCCCGCGCTCGGCACCGCTCCCGCCGCACGGCCCGAGCCCGCAGCCAATCAGGAGCCCCGGCGCTTCCCGAAAGGGGCGGGACATGTGCCGGGGCCGAAAGCTGGCGCGGGGATTGGCTGAGAGCGGGCGGGGAGGGGCGTGGCCGGAGGAGGAGGAGGAGGAGAAGGAGATGGAGGAAGAAGAGGAGGAGGAAGAAGAGGAGGGGGAGCGAGGCTGCCCGACTTCCTGACCGCGTGTCGGGCCGGAGGATGCGCCGGCGGTGCTGCGTGAGGCGGCGGGGCCGGGCCACAGCGCCCCCCGTGGCGCGGAGGAGTCACCGAGGCACCGCCGCGGGGGCCGCGCCGGAGGTGCCCAGCCTTCCCACTCTGGAAACGCTTGGCTACAAACGGACCAAAGGCGTCTGGAAAAGGCGATTTCAGCAAGTGTTTCTTCTTCTGATGAGGCAGTGGACAAGCACGGCTTTCATCCAGGCAGCAGATCGCTGTATGTGGAAGGAAGAAAGTGCCTGCCCGTGGTTTGCTGTTATTCCATGATTTCTCATCTGTTCCTTCAATGCATGCTTGGATGATGGGACCTCTGCATATGCAGATGACCATTGTACTGTTAATTTTTCTATTATTGTGCTACATGATCAAAAAATGTTCAATGTCACTGAAAACCCATAGTATATTAAAAAAAAAAAATAAAACAAACTAAAAACCAAAATCCTGAGTCTAGGCCTATAATGCCCTTCAAATGGAACTGTACTCTCAAATTGTGAATACTTTCTTGCATGCTTCTCCCCGCTTTCTCGGTTTAAATTCCCTTCTTGCAGCCTCATGGTTTGTGATGCCATGGGGAATTTGTATTATGTCACAGTTACATAGTTGCAGGATGTCATCCCAGTTATACCATTTCTGCCTCCTGTTTCTGAAGCCTCTTCTCGACAAGCACATGCGGTTTTATCAAGTTGGCAACATCAGCTACTACTTGTGCAAAATGACTTAATCCCACTAAGTGCTTGCTTTATGGATGTACAGTCTCGGATTCAGAGAGGAGGGGCACTCCACATGAGCTCCACCGTCTCCGTTTTAAAATGACACAGGAAAATCAAAGGATATCAAATTCTGAGTTTCAGAATTCTGTATACCAGAAATAAGGCACAAACCTTTATTTGAAAACCTAGGATTTGATATTAGAGGGAGTTAGGAGCAAGTTTTCTTTCTTTATTTATTTACATACATTGTTCACTCTCCTGTTAGGTCTGAGCTTCATAGAGCAGTGTAAGAGCTACAGCCTTAAAAATGGTCCCTTATGTGGCCAGATAAGCTTGTTATTTCTGGCTTTCTTTGGCAGTCCATTCATTGGCTTACCTTTTTTCTTCTTCTGCTCAAAAAACTGGTGAGTCAGGCTGACAGGGTAAGTCCTGAAGCTGTGATAGAGGAGCCCCCATCCCTGGGGCCCATGTGTGCATTTAAGAGCCTTTTCTTGATTATTTTCTCCAAACAGTATTTTTCCTACCCAGTTACCCAGTGTCCCACAGGAACTGTTTTTCACATGTAGCATTTTCCATTTCCCAAAAACACTCCACTGAGGGGGGAAGCTGGTTCACACCTTTCATAACTTGACTGACTAATTGAGTGCATCAGCTGACTGATGACCTTTGGCTTTGGTTTTACTCTCAGGTGACAGGCACCTCCTGCTCTTCCTCTCTTCGGAGCAGTAGATCTCCTTCCTGCTGCCCTCCTGAGGGATGCAGAACAGAAGAGTCTGCAATCTGTGTCACTTCTGTAAGGGCAGCGTCCCAGCAAGGCTTTGCTGAGAACACTTTACCAGGGTCCATACTTGTATTTTTGGCCAATAGTAGTACTAGAAACAGGCAAGTGAAACCAGACAGGGTGCAGCCCAGTTCAGGTTCCAGCTGACTGAAACTAAAAAGAAAAAAAAAAGAAAGAAAAAAAAGCCAAGAAAGCCCCCTTTAACTTGTTTCAATTTCTGTCCCATTTATAAATCTGGCAGTAGTAGTTACAGACACAGTTAGCCAGCTACCATAATCCTGCTAGGTCTGGCCCTGGCATGCACAGGCACATTCCAGGTTTAATGCACAAAGACTGTTCTGTCACCAAAGTCTTCCAAAGTACATTTACAGAAGAGACTGAAGGCTCAATTGTGGCCCAGGTACTAGATTTTACCTAAGTTGCTTGGGTGTTGACAGCAATTTATGTCAGACTGCAGCTGAAAACTGGACCAGCAGCCCCCAGGGACTCCAGGATTAATATTCACTCTGAGTGCTAGGCTGCACTGATGTCTCCTTGCTGCCTCCAGCATCTGCACCATGGCATGTGCTACCTTACTTAGGGTTATGTCTGCCCACCCCATAATCACTTTCTCACACGTCCGTGTGGACCCTGCTCTGGCTCCTAAAACTGGCAAGGCCCCACGGAAAGAGGAGACAGCAGGCTGATGCACATCTGCACCTCCAGCCCCCTTGGATCCTTGGAAGAGGAGATGCTTGTGTGAGCGTGGGTGTTCAGTAAAAGTTTTACACCCAGTGTGTAAATAGTCTGACAAAGTCTCAGGAGACACAAAGAACAGTATGTGCAGCATTACCTTTAAAGCTGCCTCTCCAAGAAATGGGGGGAAAGAGATAGGACAGATGTGAAGAAGTTTACTTGGTCCTGGTAGATAAAAACAGGTATTTCAGGGAAAAAAGTGTGGAGAACACAGCTAATTGAAATTGAGCTGGCTAAACCAGGAAATAATGTAAAATGAGCAAAGAAGAAGCAGAGAGGGAAAACTGGAGAGGAAATAAATGCCATTGAGAGTAAGGAGGAAGGGAGTAGTAGGAGAAAAGGACTGAAGTGTGTTAGATTGCAAAAAAAATCACCTTAAATGTTAAGGAAAAGTGAAAAGGGAGGAGAACATCTGTATACTGAAATCTTATTGCACTTCAATACCACATGTATTGCAGTCCTGATGATCTCAATGGTTAAATGGGACTGTGACGACATTGTCTTTGAAATTTGGAAAGGTAACTATGTGTGGTTTAAGATGTCTTGCAAATCAGTTGTAAGTTCTTGCAGGAAATAAGTAGCCTTACTTCAGAAGTAGAAATAGCTGATTTAAAATGCTGACTTTATTCACTGTAGGACAAAGGTATCCCTAATTTTATTACAATAATAGCATAAATTTTATTACAATAATAGCATCATTTGTGCTAGAGCTGTGGTAGAAGTTGACACGATACCACTGCATCCTGTTCTGAGGAGGAGTTAGAAGTTGTCATTGGACTGAGTGGAGCCCTCTTTCTCTGCATCAATCAGTGCAACAAAGGGGAAAACTGACTGGTTTTGTTTTTTCTGGAGTTCTTCTGAATGATCCTCATCCAATAGCTTAAGCAATTTGTGCACTATGGTGCTGTGAACTCCATTAAGTCAGTGTCCATGGATCACAGAAGAATGCTGACTCCAAAACATTTTACTTTGCTTTTCTGCAGCTACCAAATGCTTTAGATCCTATATCCAGCTGTGAAGTCCATGGTGGCATCTAGGGATTGTTCACAGCTCCACCAGGGCTGGTTGGGGAGTGCAGAAAAGGAGCCAGTGGAGGATGGGTAGCTCATCCAAGTGCACTGTCCTTTCAGAGGAGCTTTTGGTTTATACAGGCAGGCAAGCAAGGGAGGCCCAGGATAAGGTACTGTTATAAATAATCAAATCTATAGCCAAATTATAAAAAAATTCAAAAAAGATTTATTAAGTCAATCAACAAAAAATAGAAAATTTCACAATCCCATGGCCAAGTCAGCATCAGCCCCAGGAGCAGCCTCTGGGTGACCCTGAGTACCAGCTGACATAGAGACAGCGTTTCCCCTAAGGTGCACACTGAGTGCTTCCAGCAACCTGCTTATATACAGTTTATTCTGCCTGAGGCAGAGATGACCACATAATTCCTTGTTTCTCTTAGCATGTAAAGTTGGGTCCCTAAATGTGCAAAAGCAGACAAAGAAAGTGTCCAAATCCCAAACAAGTGTCTGATTGCCTAGGAGGAAGGGCTTTTCACATGTAGTAGGTGATGCCATCTCTTGAGTAGTACAGATTCCATCAAATCCAGGTGCAGACCCTCCTGGGCTTCCTGAGATGCCCCATTGATCAGCACCCAGGAAATTCAAGGTGATATCTTCCAGGTGCAGAGGAAATCCATTCAGATGGCTCCATCTTGTCTCCTGCATCTGATACCGAGTCTAGCAGTCCCGAGCCTGTCTGGGAACTGGTTAACATGTGAATACCTCTAGCCCTGACAAAGACAATTGCAGACACCATGGCTCAGGGCTACTCTGTTCATATGAGAACAGGGTTTTGATTTTATCTTAACTCGTCAGGGAACCAGTTATAATGTGAATGACTTCTTGTTCCTGGATGGGGTGGTTTCACAAGCATGGATTCAAACT